AATCTGCCTTGAATACAAAGGTTTGACCTCTCATTAGAATAAGATTCCTGAGTCTGAAAACTAAGCCGCATGGCTTTTAGAAAAGACAGCTAAGGTTTTTACTTTAAGAACTTCGGTTAAATAACTTAAGTATTGTTTCACGTGACCTATAATATTACTATTCCTTTATTGTTAACTTGGTCGCAACTTTAGCTTTTTCAATCTAGCATCGTCAAAGCCAATGGTTTGATTGGAGAATTCATATCATTTATCCATGAAGTTTTTTTAATTACAATTCAGGTATTTAGAGATTTGGTATATCCTGACTAAATGGTATTTTGTCTCAAAATTATTATGTATTACATCTGAAGCTCTTTGAATAAGGTTAATGGTTACCTTTAGAAATATTTTTATCTAAAGTTTTTTTTTTTTAAACTGGATTCATTTGGCCTTATATTGTGCTTGTAATTAATTTCTATCAGGTCTTTTACTATTAAGAATATTATTTTTATGAATTAATCATGGTCATATTAAGTTTTGTCATCTGCAGATAAGTTTTTACTTTGCTGATTTGCTGAAAACATTTGATGAAAATATCTCAACAAAAAGATAGACTACATCAGACTTATGAAAAGGACTGTGACTAGACTCAGTCAAGATTTCCAGAACTCTTACGTAGAAGCTGATGAGTTCACACACTGCTGCTGATCCAGAATCACATGGAACAGAAATTAACTACATAAGACTGAGTAAACAAAAGGAAACTATGGGTTTTATGTGGGAATACTGCTGATGTTTCATTCCAGAGGCTGTGCAGGTCCTACTTTCTGGATGTAAGAAACCATTTTCCTTTCCTCCTAAATTATCTAACTAATGAGTTTAGATATTCTAACTCTTGAATTATAAGTTCTGTTGGTAAACTTAGCAAAGTTGTAACTATCATAACCAGAGAAGTGTCTGAAATTTGAGCTATGATTTTACAAAACAGGATACTATTAGCCTTTCTGTTAGTCTCTCAAGAAACAGTTTGTGCCTTAATAGATAAATGTTGCTGTGTTTATATTAATACTCAATCTGAGGTTTTGCAAAATGTAGTTGCTGTTGAGGCACATGAAAAGTAGTTACTGATGTTGCTTATGCATAAACAAACACCTAGTATGGGGAGAGGCCCATCTATCCCAGCCAAATCTCCTCTAGGCTGCATTGTAACAAACTGGAGGAGGTATAGCTATAAGTCTATGACAAGAAAGAAAATGATATGCTTATATAACAATGTATGGGCCCAATACCAGCTGGGGGATCAGGAACATTGGCTCCAAAATGGGTCTTTGGCTTACAGCACGACTTTTCACCTTGACTTGTTTTGTAGGAAAAAAAAATGGGACAAAGTTCCCTATATTCAAGCTTTCATGTCTCTCTATCAAAATTTAAATCCCTCTAACCAGGTTCTTTTCCAGGGAAAGCTGAAGGCAAAAGTGCTTCCTGAATCCTCACCGGAGGGTCCCCTCTTAGAAGGAATAACTGCTTCGGCTCCCCTACCCATATAGGGAAGGTGCAGTAGAAGCCCACAGGTTGGGTCGAAGAATGACAGCAGAGTCCCCCACAGAAAGGGTCGAGCCTGATTCTAGTCCAGCCAGCTTGAGAGAAACTGATGAAGGAAGGGAATCAGGAAGTAAGAGTTCGACTTCATCGGGTATGGTCTCCCCACCTACACACACCCGTCAGGGTACGGTTTTCAGTGAGGTACTGCCGGGGCTTGGGCAGGGCAATTTCCTCTGAGAAAAATTCCAGCCGAAAGAGGAACAATGTTAGTACATACTCCTTTCTCTACCTCCTACTTGTATAATTAAAAGAATCACAATCCTCCTTATTGGAGTAACCCAAATACAATGGTAGAGTTGTTCCTTTCCATTTTCTACAGATCCTGCCTGAAAATGCGGGATGGCATTCCTTTCCATATTCAACAAAAGGTGAATCCGGAGGTCTGGGCATCAGAAAGGCCTGGGCAAGCCAAGTCAGCCACACTGGTTAAAATTACTTTAAAACCCGGAGTACCTATTATAAACCAGAGGCAATATCCCCTCCACAAGGAAGCTTTAGGAGGGATCACACCATTGGTGCATTGATACATGAAAATTAGACTTTTGAAATTTTGCCAGTTTCTATACAACACCCCTATCTTATCGGTGTTGAAACCGGGGACAAGAGAATATTAGTATGTTCAAAACCTAAGGAAAATCAACCAAATAGTAGAGGACATTCATCCAATTGTGCCAAACCCATAAAACCTCTTGGTTACTATACCCAGTCAATGTGCTTGGTTTTCAGTACTGGACTTGAAAGATGCCTTCTTTTGTATTCCTCTACACCCCAAGTCTCGGCCTCTATTTGCCACTGAATGGGCTGATACTAAGACAGGGAATTGCTGTGGGCATATTAACTCAAACCCTGGGACGAGCCAGGTGACCAGTGGTCTACTTTTCAAAACAGCTGGACAACGTGGCCTGGGGGTGGCCCCCTTGTCTTCAAGCCGTGGCTACAGCATGTGACCTGTTACAGGAAGCCAAGAAATTCACCCTTGGACAAAAGGTAACGGTAAACACACCACATACAGTTCTGCCTCTTTGGAACAAAAGGCGGGTTTTTGGCTCACGGCAGGACAGATGAGAAAATATCAGGCAATCTTGTTAGATAACTCTAATGTGGTTCTGAAGGCCGTCTCCTCCCTCAATCCCACCACATTGCTGCCTACTTCAGAAGATGCCCCCATACGTGACTGCCTAGAGATAATTGAAGATGTTTATTCTAGCAGACCAGGTCTCTCAGATGTTCCCTTAGCTGACCCAGAGACTGAAATGTATACAGATGGCAGTAACTTTCTATATGAAGGAGGCCACAAGACAGGATATGCGATGGTGACACGAACTGAGGTCTTAGAGGCAGCTCCATTTCCTGCTAGCACTTCGGCTCAAAAGGCTGAACTCATAGTCCTCAGGAGGGCCCTGAGACTAAGAGTAGGAAGACGCTTAACTGTGTATACTGATAATAAATATGCCCATCTAGTCCTTCACTCACATGATGCCTTGTAGAAAGGAAGGAGACTTCTGACATCTGCCAACAAAGAAATAAAACATGTACCAGAAATCCTAGAACTCCTGAAAGCAATCAGCGATCCCCTTCAGGTGGCAGTGGTATAATGCCCTGGACACCTGGAAATTTTAGATATCTGCTGGTTTTTGTGGACACCTACTCAGGGTGGGTGGAAACTTTCCTTTGTCGAATCGAACGAGCCCAAGAAGTGACCAAGGCATTACTCAAAGAAATCATACCCCGTTTTGATCTTCCAATCTCAGTACAGAGTGACAACAGGAGAGCTTTTATGGCAACAGTCACACAAGAAGTCAATAAGGTTTTAGATATAAATTGGAAATCACACTCAGCCTGGAGACCACAATAGACTGGACAGACCGAAAAGATGAACCATGTTCTGAAAAAGTCCTTGGTGAAACTTTGCCAGGAGACAAGCTCCACTGAGATACAAGTTCTCCCCATTGCCCTACTCAGAATCTGGTAGCCCCTCAAAGCAGGCTCAAATTGAGCCCCTACGAATTAATATATGGGAGACCATTCCTGAAAAAGTCGACTTTCCCCCACCTCGGTGATGATCGAGGTAGACAAAAGAGACTGGGTCCGTTCACTGACAGCTGTCATAAACACTGCTAATCAGTATGCTTCTTCTCACTTGTCTTTTCCTTCTGACACTCCCCTCCACAGGTTCCAACCTAGAGATTGGAGATCAGGTCCTGTTGAAAACCTGGAAGAATCAACCTCTGGAAGATCAACTGGCCCCTCAGTGGGAGGGACCTTTTGAAGTTCTCCTGACAACCCACTCGTCTCTGAAATTAACAGGAGTAGCCACGAGGGCACATCACTCAAGAGTAAAAGCAGCCCCGCCAAAAAAAGAGAAAGAAGCAGAAAACAAAGAGCCACCAAACTCTTGTACTCCAATTCAGGGCCTAAAGTACAAGTTCAAGAAACTTACAGTACAATGATTTTGACCTTGTTTCCCTCTATCTTTCTATTCTTCCAGGAGACCTGGGCAGAAAAGGTGCCAGTGATCCTACAGGCAAAGGGGACACTGACCCTGCAAGCTGGGGACACTCTGACCCTCCTGTGTGTAGTCTCAACCCTAACTCCAGTAGGTCCAGTTAAGTGGGCCATAGAAGAATCTGAAAGGAACGTTAAAACAGTGATTATTCTAGTTTGTTTTTGGGTTCCCTGTTTTATGAGAATATTAACAAAAGAAACTACAAATACTCCTAAGGCTAGAAAAATGTTTACCCTGGTAAATCGGGACGCCCCTTTTTCAAGCTCTGAGGACGAATGTCATCTAATTCATCAAGATGCAGCCAATTTCCACTCTAACTCACCCCCCCACAACCCACCTATGGCCCCTAGTCGGTATCGGGAGGCTTCTCACCATAGCCGATGCGCCTAACCAGCAGGAAGTAGCCAGAAAAGAAGCAACGCCCTATTTCCCAAGACTGAGAAACTTCCAGTAAAAGGGGGGATTGGAAGAGGCTGCATAGGCCCAGCTCACTATTATTTACTCCCCATTGCTAACAGCCACATTGTCTCATGATCTTGTCTTTCCCTCCGGTTCCAGTCTCTACAAAAGGTTTAAGATTAACTGATGTTCCTTCTTGGAGGGTGAAAAACAAATGATAATGATCTAGCAATGAAAAACCAAACAAAGCACCCATCTTGTGACAAAAAAACCAAGATGTCGCCAGATAATCCCCAACAATGTCGCCAAATAACCCCCAAGAATACCAGTAAAAGATTAACTCATATGAGACATGACCACCTCAAGGGGGAACTAACACAAACTTCTAAGACCCATAATCCTGTCCCTATAAAAGCCTTCAGCCGATCCCCAGTGGGGGAGATGGGTTTTTTGGAGGAATCTATTCCCCTCTGTCTCCTATACATCCATGTATAATAAAACTCTTGCTGCTCACCTCTCCCCCGTCTCAGAATTGGCTATTGCGGCAGGCGGCTCCAATCCGCATTACTGCGGTAACAACTTGCTCCTGGAATTCCTGTAATGGAGCAATAATAGTAAGGTAGAGAGTAGAAGAGTTAATTCAGGAAGCCAGATGGCACGGAAAAGGTATTTTATAATTTATCACGACATAAATTCTTTTAAGATAAGATCTAAAGAAGTAGATTTATGGGTCAGGAAAAGCAACCAGTTAAGATTCAGCCTCAAAAAATCACAATAATAGCAGTTGTTACGATTTCTTAAGCACTTACCTTGTGCCAGGCCATGTGCTTAGTACTTTTATCAGTTTTCTCATTTAAGCCAAACAATAACCCTATAAGTAATTTTTTCCACTTTAGGAATGATAAAACTACGATTTGGAGAAGTTCAGGCTTAAAAGGCCACACAACTAGTAAAGAGTGAACCAGATTTGAACCTAGGCTACAGTCAAACTGTTTCTAACAAGGCTTTCCTAAAGTGTCCAGAGGAAGAATCCTAAAATCTAGTCATGCCTACAGCTAGGACCTCATCGCTGAAGAACTGAGGCAAGAGCAGAGTAGGGCCTGGCTCTGAATCAACAACCTTTCAGGGTGGAGCTCCAGAGCCAGTCTCTCACCCCATGGGCTGTTTTCATTTCTAATATGTATCAATAATATAAATCATGAGCAATGAACTAAAACAGAAATATAAAGCACTTAGCACCTTGCATACTCAATTTCCTCCTCTTCCACCATCCTCCTTGCTCTGCTCCAATATATTCCATAGAAAAACATAATTCAAAATGGAGGTCTTGATGACAATGGATCCAGGGACCATGGGCATCTTTCCAGAGCATCCATACCCAAAATGGCTTTCTTTCCTGAAAGCTGGATGGTTCGGGCCTTCAAAAGGCACTTTTCAGGTCCCAACTCCAAGGCAAGATCCCATACGGTGCCTGTTACAAGTAAAGTACAATTTATATGAGACCAGGCCTGCTAGAGAGCCTTCCAGCTTCCCAGAGCAAGAGGCAATGTGTAAATTTTCAAGACCTTGTTCTCCCCAAATATGGGATCCATCCAGACTAAAAGTAAAAATATGTAACTTTGCATACGGACTCTGCAGTCTATTAACTTTATGAGTGGGTAAATTATTCAACCTTTCTGACCCTAGTATAGCAGGCACTCACTAAATAGTAACAAGTATAATTATTATTGCATATCTCGGGAATTGTTGTTAGACTTTAAATGTACAAGAAAGTACCTTGTAACATGTAACAGGTTACGGAAATGCCAGGAGATGGACAAGCTGGGCTGGAGCAAGCTGGGGAGCAGGGGACACACAGGGAGAGATCGGTTGTCGAGTCTGATAGCTAGGGCTAAGTCCAGACCAGCCCATCGACCTTTAAGAGGAAGAGTAGCAGGTAGTCATCTACATTGCTAAGTCAAGCTATTGGAACAGTAGCCCTTAATATGTCAAATGTGACTGCAAGGCCCACTTGGTTGGTACAATATTCTTCATACCCAGGTGGGTTGCACAACACACCACTGCAGTCAGACTCCGAGGCCCAAGTAGGGCCAAAGGTGCTACAGGGACTCCACCGACAAAAACATCAAAGAGTGGCCAGGGCAGGACTGCAATGGAGCATTTGGCATCATTCAGGTCAGAGAAACAATTGTTTTGTGAAGGGGGAGACTTCACCTCCTTGAGTAAAATTTCCTATTTACAGAAGGATAAGGACTAATGTTGCTTCACTGAAAAGCACTGCTCTGACAAATTTAAAATAGCAATAAACCTTGGGAGTTCTATTAGAAAGGTGGGAATAATTTCACTCTATCTGAACCATGATAGAAGATGACACGTCAGTCTTCCCCATTTTTCCCTTTACTAATCAATTAGGAGACAAAAAAATCACAATAAAAAAATCATATAAAAAGCTTATAAACATTATTCAAATCTCCTCTACCAGTCATGAGCTTTCCTTTAGTATAACCGGCTTTTCCATTAAAAGAAAATTAAATAAAATATGAGATGTATTGTAGCTGCTTAAAAGGAGAGTTGGGGATTATACTTCTTAGAAAAGTAATTTCCATTTCCCTCCTGCTCTCGGCATCCCAGCGTGGTCTCCTAGCTTGGTAACACACACGGCCAGAGTCTCCTGTGGCCGGCTGGGGGACCAATGCTGCCCATGGGCTGTGAGGAATAACAGGATCTCTAGGGTCTTCTAAATAAGGGGTAAGTGGAAGGACTCTCAAGCATTGGAATTTTTAACAACTTCCAAAGCAGTTTCTGTGGTGTATCGAAGTCGAAGGACTAGAATTCTAAATTATTAATTAGTAAGCAATAAATACAGGTTCATTCTCTGAATGATCAGAGGTATATACCAAGAATCTCCGAACTCTTAGCTATTCTCCATTTTATGCCATTCCTGTCCTAAGCTTTGCTAATGTTATTCCAACGGCTTGGAATGCCCTCCTCTGCAATACCTTCTTCTTTTTCCCTGCAAGCTAATTGCTACCTGCCCAAATCTTACATATTCTCGAAAATAGTTAAATACTATTTCCACTCTTTCCTCTATGTAGCTTTCTTTGATCCTATCAGCCAGAAGTAATTTCTTCTTCTGCTAAATTTCCATTTAATTTGTACTTTATTTGTATCATTATCACCTTCTACCTTGCTTTGTAGATATTAACGCACACATTTCTCCCATGTTAGATTGCAAACTTCTGACGAGAAGACTCCACCTCTGATTCATCTTTCTATCTGTAGAACCTAGCACATGATAGGTGCTCTATTATATACAGAGGAAAATAAATAAGAAATAAAGGAACAAAGAAAGGAAGGAGAATGTATGTCCTTTCTGATAACTTTTATAGTTCTGTAGTTTGTAAAAACAAGCTGAGCTTGCTCCACAGATCATTAACATTTCTATATACCCGCTAAGCCTACTAATGAAAGCACACTGAGGATTCTTAAAGGCCCTATAAAAAGGTTTTATATACTGGCTTTAGCATTGCTGGCATCTGTGGCGTCTAAAACCTGAAAACGCTATTCCTCTGAGGTGTCATTAGCTTTCTGTGTGCCTTCAGAAGTTCAAAGACAATTTCCTGTATTCCTATAAGAATGCCAGTTTCTTTCCACCCACTGCAAAATATATCTTAGCTACAACTGAAATTGTCATTTGCTTTCTGTGCCTTCCAAAGCACTGGGAGAGATATATAGTCCTGTGCTATTATTGGCACTGTCAGTTTCCCCATGTAATATCAAAAGAGCCCTCCAAAGTTGCTTTGTGTATGCAGTCTCTGTGTGTGTGCATAGTGACACTAAGCTTGTTTTTCTGGTGAAATGCCTTGTCCACGAAGACAATCCAACTTTTATCTAACAGCTTCTCAATGAAAGAATATCTGGAGGAAAAAATTCAAGTAGTAACAGCCCTTTATTTCACCCATAAAAGAACAATGATAGCAGTGCCCTAGAATCCAAAATAATATTCACATCTATGTTAGAATTTAACATATCTAACATTTCACAGCATGGACCAAGATTCAGTCAATAGTGCATGCAGTAATACCATTAGTCAAGGCACAGGCTCTCTTACTTCCCCTGAAAAGTTGTTATCCTTTATGATAGAATTAAAAAGAATTTCTAATTCACAAAGTTGCTGCAGGTTCTTCCACACTGTAAAGGCACAGTGTTTCTTAATGGGAGTGCTACTGGTATTGGGGCAGGACAATTCTCTGTTTGGGGAGTTCTCCTACACTCTGCTGAATGTTTAGCAACCCTGCTAACACCAGTAGCACTCTCTGCTCCTTATGATGAGCCCCCCCATACACACACAGTTCCAGTTACCCAGTCACCTCCAAGGGAGGTGAGTACTGCTACATATGGATTGATGGATGAATATACACATACACACACACATTTTAAAATCAATATTGTTACTACATATTATATGTCACAGGTTTTACATATGTGTGGTGTGTGTGTGTGTGTGTGTGTGTGTATGCATATATCACTAGAAAGAGAGAGAAAAGGGAAAGGTGGCAAACGGAGCGAACACCTGTTGAATGCCTACTATGTGCAGCGCTTTCACAAGTGTGAATGGGTTTGGACACAGGTTCAATTCAGCAATTTACAAAGAACGTCTTTATTTTTCCTAATACTATCTTTGCTTTTTTGAGCTTTCCATGGCTCAAGGAGGGAGATTTGGGGAGATAAAACTTAAGATTGCCAAACAACAGCACTTCTACCCCTTCTGATACATTCAGTCCAATCCAGTGAACTTTGTGCTCTAATTCTGTTATTAAAATCAGGCTTTCTTGTCTCCACTGCTCTTCCCCCTTCTCCTCAATTTGCCATAAGCAAATTCTTCATCTCATCATTTTACACATATATTATTGATTTAATTTTCTTAATAGCCTTTAAAGATGTGTATTTTAATTCACTTTTTTTTTTTATGGGAAAACTATAGCTCAAAGTCAAGTAAATTTTCCAAGTAATGGAGCTAAAGCTGTTCACTCCAAAGCCTGTGCTCTCCACTTTTTACATCTCTGCCTCTATGCTACCATACTACCACTATTATCACCCATAATAATGAAGAAAATAATAATACTAAAGAACATACATGGTGAGAAAGAACCTACTGAAAACTCATATCCAATTGTCTGTTTAAAAATATCATCTCAGTCAGCCAGAAAGCTAGAGGAACAGGATGTCCTGGTTGATGGAATCCATCAATTAACCACAAAGTTTGTGTAGAATAGGATTGGGATAATACTAAAATATAGTCTTCTCTTCCCCTCAAGGGGCTTGCAGACTAGTGAAAAAATTAATTCTTAGAGAGACAGTGTATTATACAGTATTTAAGCCTAAGTAGGGCTGACAGTAAAAGCATTTAATGAGAAGACTTGAATGTCTTCCTAAACTATATCATGTGAAAAACAAAATCAATCTAAAATATAATTAATATAACAAGCTTTGATATGATTAATTATAACATGTTGATTACATACTGAGTATTTGTTCAGTGAATAAATAAATGAGGTAATGAATAGTAACTTTGATCAAAAAAGAAGAGTGGAAGAGCAAAGAACTTTTCACGGAGTCTTTAGCATTATATAAGTAGGAAAAAGATATGATACAGTAGCCCCTTCCCATTCTGGAGACTCACCTAAATTTAGAATATTATCATGGCTAGAATTTCCCTCACAAAATGAGTACTTGTACAGGCAGCAAGGCCAAAATGAAAGGTGAACTGTGAGTAGCGTGTTTTCTAGGCTCAGCTACTAGTTAAATGAGCCACATTAGCCTTAACAGTTATGCCTCAGGAGATTCATAAAGTAATATCATTCATAAATTAATATAAGTCACAGGAGTTCAGCTATACTAAAAGATAGTCAAACTCAGAAATGGCACAGACAGTAATGCCACCTGATCTTGATTATGTTTATGTTGACGTTTCATTATCATTGAAATTAAATGATAACTAATGATTTCTTGGAGAATGTATCGAGAGAGAATAGATCTGCCATTCTCTAGTGTCCCCACTCTCCCACCAGGATCTACAGGAGGGTCCATGACTCACTCCAGTTTGGGAAACACTGCCCTAGATGAAAAGACTGAGAGAGCCAACATGGTGCTATAAACAGAAGCACCATGCCCTCTGCAGTAAAGACTCGAAAAGCTAAGTAGAACAGATACAAACATCAATCCTGGAACCCTAAGCATCAAATTAACTATATCAAGCAACAAATGGAAGAAGAAACTGACGGAAAACAGAGAAGGAGGAAAGCTACAGAGTGGAGGTCCTCTGCCAGCTAATGCAGCATGGATTCACCATCTTGGACCACAGCCACCAAGGACTAGGAGTACAGGAAGATAACTTCACAGAGCTCCCAACAGGAGACAGAGCACCTGGTAATCAGGGATACAAGCTTTCCCACCCCACAGTTCCTCTGGTGCCATTTTGTTGTTGTTGTTATTGTTTGTTTCATTTATTCTCTCTCTCTCCCTTCCTTCCTTTCCTTTCTCCTGCCCACCTAGCCCTGTGCACTGCTCTGGCCCCTTCTCTACGGGCCATGCCACACCACTCAGCTAGAGAGTCACCAGCACACAGCCTCCCCAGGTCCATGCCACCCCCACCAGCCAGCTCCCTCACCGCAATATTTTTTTGTTTTTCTTTTTGTTTTTTTTGGTTTCTTCTATCTCTCTTCCTTCCTTTCCTTTCTCCTGCCAAGCTAGCCCCGTGCACCATCTCTGCACCTTCTCAACAGGCCATGCTGCACTGCTTAGCTAGAGAGCCACAGGCACACAGCCTCCTCAAGTCCATGTCACCCCCCACCAGCTGGGTCCATCAGCATCATATTTTTCTTTGTTTTGTTTTCTTTGTAGTTCGTTCTCTTTCTCTCTCCCCCTTCCTTCCTTTCCCTTCTCCTGCTCACATAGCCCTGTGTGCTGTCCCCGCCTCTTCTCAACAGGCTATGTCACACCACTTGGCTAGAGAGTCACCAACACATGGCCTCCGCAGTCTGCGCCATCCCCACCCGCCAGCTCTCACAGTGCCATGTTTTTATTTTTCTTTATCTTTTCCTTTCTTCCTTTTCCTTCTCCATCCTACCAAGGCCCTGCCCTGCCTCCACTCCTTCCTGAAGGGCTGTGCTATATGGCCCGATAAAAAGAAACCAGTTCACCCCCACCCTACTTCCACCTCACCCTCAAAAGCCAGTTCCCTCATCACCGTATTTATTTATTTTTGTTGTTGTTGTTTTGTTTTTTGTTTCTTCTCTCCCTTGTTTCCTTTCCCCACCAACCTAGACCACTGTACCACACACACCCCTTCTCGACAGGCTGAGCCAGACGACAAGGCTAGAGAGCCACCACACACGGCCTCCCTAGGTCTGCCTCGCCCCCACCCACCGAATCCCACCGCACCATTTTATTTACTTATTTCTTTTTTGTTTGTTTCATTATTTTACTTTTGTTTCTCTCTTTTTTCTCGCTCCACGTAGCTCCGCACATCACATCGTATCCATTCTGCACAGCACACAGAGATCGGAGCCCCCAAAGGGCACTTGTATGGACCTGCAGACCCATGGACCCAAAATAGCACCACCCCCTGGCCCCACACTGTTGAGGGCTGCACCCCTAAACGGCCCTGGCATGGACCCCTAGACAACTGGACTCCACACTGCACTGACCCCAGCCATGCCCTGCTGGCCCCAGTTTCTGCAGCAAATGATCCAGCCCGCCCCTCCTCCCACCCCCGCTCTACCTGTCCTGGTGCACCATAGTTGAGCAACCAGCCCTGCTCAACTGGACAAAGTGGTGAGAACTATTGTGCCCATGGATGAGAAAGCAACAAAACATGTCCAGCCCACCCACCCAGACATAAATAAACAAAACAAAATAGGGACAAAAAAAAAAAAACCCACAATTAATAAGTGAAGAAAATAATTCCTGAATGTCTCAGAGACAGCAGACAATATGAAAATACACTTTAAAAAAACAGGACAGGATGGCTCCAGTAAGCAATAAAAATAAAACACCAGATGACCTTCCAGTAGAAAAAAAGCCACTGGATACTAGATAGGGAATTCAAAATTCTAATACAGAGGGCTCTACAAAAGATTAGGAAAGAAATGAAGAAAAATATACAAAAAACTAAGATAAAAAGACAAAATCATGTAAAATACAGACAAGATGAAAGAAAACAGACAAAGCAAAGGAAAAAGTCAAGAAAATAATACAGGAACAAAATGTCAAAGTAAATAAACAGTTACAAATCTTGCAAAAACAGCAATTAGATATCCAAAGGAGAAACAACAAGATTTCAGAAATGGACATTGGCAATAGAAGGTTTTAGGACCAAATTTGAAACAATGGAAGAAAGGATCGGCGAAATTCAACAAATTCTTGGATATCACCTTGTTTGAAGAAAAATCAGAGAAAAGAATAAAGAAAAATGAAGAAAAGTTGAGAACTGTGGGATACAATGAAGAGCAAAAATTTACATGTGATCAGAGTTCTAGAACAGAACGGAAAATGGAAACCACAGAGAGGATCACTGAAGACTTGGTGACAGAAAACTTCCCTAATATCATGCAAGATGAAAAGCTAACCATCCAAGAAGCTCAACAAATCCCATATAGAACAGACACCAAAAGAAAGTCACCAAGATATATCATAATGACTCTAGCAAAAAAAAAAAAAAAAAAAGGCAGAATCTTGAAAGCAGCTCCAGAAAAACAAAAAGTCACATACAAAGGGGAAACAGAAAGACTGAACTCTGACTGCTTGGCAGAAATCATGCAGGCAAGAAAGCAATGAGATGACATATATACAACCTTGGGGAAAAAAAAAATGCCAATTAAGAATAATATATCCTGCAAAACTCTCTCTCAAATATGGTAAGAAAACTAGGAGATTTCTAGATAAAGACAAATTAAGAGAATATGTAAAAACCAAGCCAAACTTACAAGAATTATTAAAGGGGGTCCTTTGGTTGGAAAAACAACAACATCAGACAACAACCTGAATCTAGGACACAGGACAACATCAGCCAGATACCAACCTAGGTGATGAACTCTCAAGAATAAAACAAAACTAAAAGACTTAAAACAGGGAACCAGAGACATCAGTCTGTAAATGAAAACAATGTCAGAACATTAAAAGAGGAAATAAACATACGTATAGAACTACTATATGGAAAGGAAATCAAGGTGATATCAAGTAATAAAAGACTAGTTCAAACTTAGGAAGATGGGGTAAATTTCAAGAAACCGCAAGAAAGTTAACAAACCTACTCATCAAAATAAATAAGAAAAATATAAAGTCTCAGAAAACACAAAATCTACAAAAACGAAAGAAACAAAAAAAAATCCACAAACAAAAGGAATTCAGTACAGAAAAGGAAGAGGAACAAAGAAAACACCAGTACCACTAAAAAAAGCACTACAAAATGACAGCAATAAAGTCACATCTATCAATAATTACACTGAACGTAAATGGCTTAAATGTACCCACAAAGAGACAGAGAGTAAGAGAATGGATAAAAAAACATAACTCATCAATATGCTGTCTACAAGAAACACACATTAGAAATAAAGACATAAATATATTAAAAATCAAAGGATGGAAGAAATACATAAAACAAACAATAACCAATAAAGAACACAAGTGGCAATAGTAATCTCCGATAAAATAAACTTTAAAATAAAATCCACCATAAAAAACAAGGAAGGATATTATATATAATTAAAGGGAACATCCACTATGAGGCCATAACCATAATAAATATCTACGCACCCAATGACAGGGTTCCAAAATACATAAAACAAACTAACAACATTGAAACGGGAATTTGCCGTTTCACAATAATAGTAGGAGACTTCAACACCCCACTCTTGGTAAAGGACAGAACACCTAGAAAGAAACTCAACAAAGATACAGAAGATCCAAAGGCCACAATCAACCAACTTGACCTCCCAGACATATACAGAACACTCCACCCAACACAAAGTATACATTCTTTTCCAACACACATGGAATGTTCTCCAGAACAGACCGCATCTTAGGCACAAAGCAACCCTCAACAAAATCTAAAACACTGAGCTAATACAAAGCATATTCTCTGATCACAACGCCAAAAAAGTAGATATTAATAACAAGAAGAGTAAGGAAAAAAAATCAAATAAATGGAAACTGAATAATGCCTTCCATAAAAACCACTGGGTAACAGAAGATATCAAAGATGGAAAAAAAAAATTTTGAAAATCAAACAAGAATGAAAACACTTTATAACAAAACCTTTGAGACACAAGCAAAGGCAGTGCACAAAGGTCAATTTATAGCAATAAATGTACACCTCAAAAAAGAAGAAAGGATGAGAAGGGAGAGGGTTGATATGTCATGGGGTTGTTGACCAATGTCATAAAACAGTATGTGCATTGCTGTTTAATGAGAAACTATTTGTTCTGTAAACCTTCACCTGAAGTACAATTTAAAAAAAAAAAAAGAAAATGGACAAGAAAATCCTCAACAAAATATAAGCAAACCAAATCCAGCAACATATAAAAAGAATTATACACCATGACCAAGTGGGATTTATCTTAGGGATGCAAGGCTGGTTCTGCATAAAAAAATCAATCAATGTAATACCTCATATCAATACAATAAAAAGCAAAAATAACATTTAAAAAAAAAAAGAACAAAATCAAAAAGCTAGCTATACAACTTGAATTAAAAGGTAGAGAACAGCAAAAGAAGCCCACAGCAACCAGAAAAAAAGGAATAATAAAGATCAGAGCAGAAATAAATTAAATAGATAACGAAAAAACAACAGAAACAACAAAACCAAAAGTTGGTTCTTTGAAAGGATCAACAAAATTGACAAACCATTGTCCAAACTGACAAAATAAAGACAGGAGAGGAAGCAAATAACGCAAATAAGAAATGACATGGGGGATATTACAACAGACTCAACTGAAATAAAAAGAATCATAACACAGTACTATGAAAAACTGTACTCCAACAAATTTGAAAACCTAGAAGAAATGGACAAATTTCTAGAAACATACTACCTACTTAAACTAACACAAACTGAGGTCGAAAATCTGACCAGATCCATAACAAGAGATTGAAAAGATAATAATAAAAAAAAAAACCTCCCAACAACAACAACAAAAAGTTCTGGCCCAGATGGCTTCAGAGGAGAATTCTACCAAATACTCATAGAAGAGATTGCACCAGT